CAAATAAGCAGCTCTGTTTGCGTGATACTTTTGAACAAGGTCTTTAATTGTCATTTTTAACTTCTATATTTTCACGATTTTTCTACACATAACGTAAAAATCACGGGCGGCTGAAAGCCGTCCCGTGGATTGAAATGTTAGGCTGTCTATCCAAGTAAAACCTCGGGATCATTGTCAATCAACTCTTTGATAATCATTGACTTTAGATCATTATGGACGATGAACCACATTGGATTTCCAAATGTTTTAGGGTATCCCATGTCTTTGTCCTCATCGCCATTCCATCTCATTGCAATCACCTTTTGGTTATTCTCCCACAGGCCATAGGCAACAGAAAACTCTTTGTTATCAAAAAGTATTTTTATAACTTTGAAATTTCCTGGGTTTACATCTTGAGGTTTTGGCATAAGAACTCCTATTTTTCAGACAGTGCGGCTGACAAAAGCGACCCAAAAGTCTCGCTTGTAAATTTTTGAGTCCGAACTAAGTGTTTTTCACCATTATTCGCCATTTCTGACGAAAATAAAATTTCAGTTTCAGTTTTGTTTTTATCCATTGATGAAACCACATTTGCTTTACAAGTGTACTTTCCAATCTTTTCATCCTTGTTCGTGGTAACTATATTATCCAGTGAATACTTTATTTCGCTATAGCGCCCACTGTCTTTTAACTTATCTCCTGTCATGGCTACAATCTGAGAAAAGGCGATGGCTATTTGTGCTTTTCCTAAATCACTAGCAAGAAATTCCCTGACTTGCTCATTTGTAGTTTCAAGCACTAACTTCTGAGTTTTGCTGTCTGCACAGTCAGGTGTTTTTACCGAACAAGCAGTGATAAGCAGCGGCAATACAATTAAAAAGAAATGAAAGATTTTCATGGTATTTTCCTGCGCCCAAATTCAAACGATAAGCAACGGGGCGAAACGATGCCTAACGTTTGAATTCAGCGGCCGCCGTAGGCGGTCCGCTGGAATGATGGGTTGGACGTCATGCGGTCGCGGCTTGCATTCACCCAGAGATTTCCCGCCCGCATTTGTTGCACTTGAACTGCTTGCGTGCCTTGTCGACCTGCTCGCCCACTTTGTTCCCAACCGCGCCACCGGCTGCACCGCCGCCTAATGCACCAAGAATGCCGCCGACGACCGCTCCTGCGGCCGTGCCAATCCCAGGCAAAAAAGAACCAATTGCGGCGCCCGCAGCTGCACCACTTGTCGCGCCCGTATAGCCGCCCACTGCTCCGGCACCTACTCCGATAGTCGTGCCAACCTTTTCGCCAGTGCTGTCCAAGACGACAAATTCTCCAGTGTCGCAGTTCGGACACTTAGGTGTTTTTAACGCTGCCATTGTTGCCTCCCATAAGGTACAGTATACACCTTTTTAGGTGTATACTTATTAAAAAAAGGTGTATAAGAAATAAGCATCGTAAAGTTTCTCCCTAATTTCAACAACAATAAAAAATATGACACCTGACAATACACCGCCTCCAAAATTACTTGACCAAGTGCGGGACAAGTTGCGCCTGAAGCACTATTCTATACGAACAGAAAGACAATATCTGCAATGGGTCAAGCGTTTTATTTTGTTTCACAACAAAGAGCATCCGCTGCAGATGGGTGCGGTGCAGGTGGAGCTTTTTTTAACGCATTTGGCGGTGGATGGCAAGGTGGCGGCATCGACACAGAATCAGGCTTTGTCGGCGATTTTGTTTCTGTATCGCGATGTACTTGCGGTGGATTTGCCTTGGCTCAATGATGTGGTGCGCGCTAAAACGCCGCAACGTTTGCCGGTGGTGTTGACGCAACAAGAGGTGGCGGCTGTGCTTGGGCGCATGGATGGTGTTTATGGCTTGATGGCGCAGCTGCTCTACGGCACGGGGATGCGCTTGATGGAGTGTGTGCGGCTGCGGGTGAAGGATGTCGATTTTGACCGTGCGGAGGTGGTGATTCGTGATGGCAAGGGCGGCAAAGATCGCGTGACGATGTTGCCACAAAAATCAATCACGTTGCTGCAAGCGTATTTTGAAAAACGCAGACTTTTGTATGAAGACGATTTAGCCAAGGGTTTGGCCAGTGTGTATTTGCCTGATGCTTTGGAGCGTAAATACACCCAGGCGGCCACAAGTTGGGCTTGGCAGTATATTTTTGTGGCAGGCAGTTATTCGACCGATCCGCGCAGCGGCGTGGTGCGACGCCATCATTTGGATGAAAAGCTGCTGCAACGTGCGATGAAAAAGGCGGTGCTGGCCGCTGGTATTACCAAACCCGCTACGCCGCATACGTTGCGTCACAGTTTTGCCACGCATTTGCTGCAGGCTGGTTATGACATTCGCACGGTGCAAGAGCTATTGGGTCATGCCGATGTGGCCACGACGATGATTTATACGCACGTGCTCAACAAAGGGGGCAAAGGTGTGCAAAGTCCGCTGGATGCGCTGTAAAACAATGCTGGCGTAGGGGGTGCCTATGTTAAGACAGTGTTTTTTAATGAGATGATTTGGTAAATCCGTGTATAAAACATCCCTGTTCGGTCTTTTAACCATGGTAAATGGCTGATAAATGGCCGATTAATAAACCAGTCAGTTATGGAATGAATTTTTAATGAGATATAATTATCCTGCTTCCGGTTTTTATTATCTCATTCTGTTTTTTTAGTGGGGTATGTGTTTGAAATTTTCAATCAATAGGGTCACCCATTAGCGTTTCCATGTCAATAGGCCGAACAAAACCCTGGCGGCTTGCCGCCACATTTTTACAACACTTCTACCTCATCAACCCCTTTCATTCGCGCCCGTTTCTTCAATCATTTGTGC